CGAGGAGAGATTTACTAAGATTGAAAGAAATTTGTGTTCTATTAAAATTTTATGAAAAATGAAAAGAATTGCGGGGACTATCTGTCTTCGACAAATTTTCTTAACTTTCAATAAAACCAAATTTCTCTCGTCGACAAATCCTTTAGGAAGAGGCTTGTTTAGCATCTTCCGTTATTGCCGCTACGAAAGCAAATCAATCGATCAAGGAGCCTAATTAGAGATCGGAGCCCCCTCTCAATTAATTAACGGATTTTATTGTCATAGATCGTGCCCTCGTTATCTCTCTGTCGGCGGCCAGAAAAATTCTTGCACGCGCTACAGGCTGCACCTGCTCCCTCAGCTTTCTACTAGTCGGGAATTCAAAGACAGCGCGATCTTATCGGGCTGTATACAAGGCTTAAACCTGCGGAATGTTTTCAGGAGGGTACGTGCTAGGACAGGTGTCGGCAGAGACTAAGGAGAGCCCGGGAGGCGGTCATCGGCCACCGAAATATTTGTTCGCCGCAATAAAAAAGAGCGTTCTTTCGCGTTTGTCCTTGCTCTTTTCTTTAGTCCTGTCGTTCACTCGCTTTCTTCTGCAACATTTGATGGGTTAGCCAGTAACGCGTTCTGATCCCTTCCTTCCATTCGAATGTGAATAGTGTCTCTCAATCACTCAAACGAGGGATCTCCAGCTCTCTCTCCTCTTCCTCTTCTTTATTTCCTAGATTTCCATCCCGTAGGAATACAATGGCGTTCTTTCCCGAATTCTTACTTCGATTTTTCGAGTTCTACAGAAAACTAACTAGCAAAATCGCAACCACAACCGATGATATTTCACACACTGTGTCGAGTTTTAAATTATTGGAATTCTCCTCCCTCTTTTTAGTGACGCCGTTTATTCATTTTTTTCGATTCTTTCTTTGATAAAAGTTGACTCTTGTACTTTCCCTTTTTTAAATGACATTCACGTATTTATTAGTTTTATTAGAAAATTCTTTTGACACCGATTTCAATTTATTCATTTTATTTTATTTTTTTCTCTGTTTCATTATCGCATTTATCTGAACGAAACAATGGATTTTTGAAGAGTGTGACGGTGAAAGCGTACGATAAAGGAATCTAAATAAATGTACAGGATAAAAAACTAATGTCAATATATTCCATAAATGTAAAACGTTATTGGTTTTATTCGACATTTACAAAGTTTTATATTTACATAATCTTTTTTAAATGATTTATATATGTATTATAAATTTAATGTTTGAATGAAATTTAAATTTTTATCAATTTTTAATTCCATTTTCACTTTTTCAAACATGTCGATATTAAAAGGCTTTTGTGATGTCGAATTATAATATTTTCAGACTGATTAGTTTTGTGATTGCCTTTTTATCAGAAAATTGAATTATATTTATATAGTCAATATTAAAATACCTTTTGCTGTTTTCGATTTTTCGATTTTTGAAGAGTGTAAAAGCGCAAAGGAACCTAAAATAAATCTATAGGATAAAAAATTATGGTCAATATATTTCGCATATGAGAAACTTAGAAATGCAATTTTATTCCGAGATTTACAAAAGTTTATATTTACATAATCTTTTTTAAATGATTTTCATTGTCATTTTTTCAAATACTTGTCGATATTTGAAAGCTGTTGTCAGATTACAATTTAAGATTTTAGATTGATTAGTTTTGCGGTTGCCTTTTTATCGAAAAATTGAATTAATATTTATATAATCAATATTAAAATGTCTTTTACTATTGTTTGATTTTTAAAAAAACAATCTGTAAACGAATATCAACATATTCTGCGAAACTCTGAAACGCTATCGATTTTGTTCCAAAATTTACAAAATTTTACATTTCTTTATAATCCTTTTTAAATATCATGATTTTTATATATATTATAAATTTAATGTTTGAATGAAATTTAAATTTTTATCAATTTTTAATTCTATCTACTTTTTTAAACATATTTCGATATTTAAAAACTTTTGTAATGTTAAATTACAATATTTTCATATTCATTAATTTTGTAGTTGCCTTTTTATCAGAAAATTAAATTAATATTTATATAGTCAATAAGTTAAATTAAAACACCTTGTGCTGTTCTTTTGATTTTTGAACAACAATCTTCGAACGAAAAAAATATAAACGGCTTCTTTTTATTTCATTGTATTTTTTTGGAAGAAAGTCAATTGTTTATTCAAAAATTATAATAATAAAAAATGGAATAAAAGATTATTTTAAATTATGCATACAACTACATAAGATCTTTTTGCGTCAAAATTATAAAATTTTTGCTTTCTGTTTTCAATCGAATTAATAATTTCAGAATTTTTTTCTCGGATAATCGGCGTAAATTTATGTGTAATTTAATTTTAAGGAGATTGATCGAGAGAAATTCTTTTACCTTATTTTAATTACACAAGTAATTTGTTTCTTGGAAAGCGAATTAATGCGTTAAACAATAATTAAAATGTTTTCCTTGAAAATTTATTCTAGCTTTTATTCGTTTACTCGATGATTAAATGATCAAACGCAATAGGAATAAAATAAAAAGATGATTAATTACCTTTCTGATTTTTTTCCTATGCAATCTTTGAAGAATCAACGATTCCCGAGCTCGCATTATCGACGTATCCAAGTTTCTTTCTATCTTGCAATTCCACGACGGATAGTCTATCGATATTATGATACCGCGGAGTGCCCATGTCGGCCTAAAGCGCTACCTAAAATCAGCCCTTCCTTATACATACATACATATATACATATACACACATTCAAACATATATACATATATATATATATATATATATTTATATGTATATGTATATATATATATATAAAATATATATACATGTCGCTCGCTCGAGGGGGAGGAAGAAAAGGCCGTGTTCTTTATCGATCTCGGCGAAGTACGGCGATCATGCGCGTGGTAGGCCGTTAGGGAAGTGTCAGCGCCGTGTACTTGAATTTTGGGTCAGCGGGTGTCTATGGGTCCGGGCGAGACCTACCCGAGAAGTCGTCGTCCCGCGGACACACAGGTGGATGAAAGGAACGCTCGGGGGGTAGCTGGGGCGGGCGCCTCGCTCGAACGCATCGTCCGTCGAACTAAAGAGAGACAGAGACGAAGAGAGAAAAGACAGAGAGAGACTTTTGCGCGAAGAAGCCGCGAAGCGCGCGCGCGCTGCCGAAAATTCTGCAGGGACGACTTCTTCGTCTTCGTCGTCTTCGTAACCGCCGCAGCGGTCGGCGGCCATATTTGCGCCAGGACGGTAGGCGTTCACAGGCGGTACCGTCTCGTCGCGCGTTCTCCAACTGCTTCGGCGAACACCTTCACCCCACTCGCCGGCGTGCCGTCAGATTCCTGGTGGGGCACCCTCGGCGATGTTCTGTTGGTGTCGCCCTCACCACTGTCGCCGTCCCCTCCCCCGTCCCCCCGCCGCTCGATCCCACTCGCGCGCGGTTTCCTCGCTCCTCCGCCGCGAGAGGGGGGGAGCTCGCCCCGATGAGTCGCGGTGGGGGAAGAGTCGGTCGGGGGGGGACGATGATGAGTTCGCGGGGTGGTGGGAACGCGACGTGGGTAGGCGACGTGATCGAACTACGGCGGCGGCGATACTTCGTCTTCCACTTCCTGCTCTTCGTCTTCGATTCCACTCTCGTCGAGGAGGGCGGCCGCCGCCTTCATGGCCCGCGACGATGGTGCGTTGCCCGCGAACGTCTTCCCTGTTGTCCTCTGCTCGTCCTGGCGCTCGTTTGCCTCGATGCTCCTTCTTCTTGCTTCCTTTTCTTTCGCGACATGGAAGAAGTTTCGTGGGAAGCCGGGCCGTTTCGAGGCCTAAACTCGGTTTATGTATTTAATTATCGAACTTATTTCGAGCTTCGCTGGAATTTCAGGGAGCCGAATGCGCCGAGTATGAATAATTGATGAAGATAATCCGCCGTCTTCTTCTTACGCGTGCGAAATCCGTTCTTATACTTCCCTCTTAGCGCCTTAACGCCGGGTACACCCTGTGTGTTAAGACACATGTTGCTTCTCGGTGTCCCTCGTTATCTTGGTAGAGTCCTTTATTTTCTTCTTCGGGCTCAAAGTTGCTCAAGAGATGTTGATTGAACTTATATTTGTATATTTAATTATCGAATCGGGTTTGTGGAATTTTTAAATTAAGAATATTAAAGAAAGGGGGAGAGGGCAGAAGTAAAGATGCCGAAAATAAGGGAATTGAAAGTATGCAAAGTTTGTTTTCTTCTTTTTTTCAATTTATCGAACGCATTTTTCTCTTTTCTCGATTGTTAAAATGGAGATTATTCCTGAATTATTTAATTGCTTTAATATATTTAAATTAACTAATACGCACATGTACGAATTCAGCTTAAAAACTACCCAAGTATTTGATAGCATGTCAAGAAAAATATTAATTAGCGAATAAAATTATGTATAATATATTAATAGTAAGAAACAACGAGCAATTTTGATTGTGTGGAAGCAATATTATAGAGTGAAAAGGCAATCGTATGTGTGAGAGAGAGAGAGAGCAAAATGATGGATGACTGGAGTGTAAACATATACCCCAAACAATGCGAATCTTCAGATGACCTTAACTTATACACGAGAAAATCTCATCGGTCAAAACCGATTGCTAGCAAGTTATCTGCTACATTTGTCATTTATTCTCTCGCAATCACATTTTACATTATAATTCTAACTTAATTAAATTCCTATGCACAAATATAATAAGGCTTCATGATTATTGGAATGGATATCTGTATCGGAAAATTAACGAACGTTACGATTACATCAATAGCTGCTCGAATGATAACTCGTTGCACGACTAATTCGGTGAAATTTATTGTTGCTCATCCGTCGAAAGTGTTGCATTAATGAAGGTTTTTGTCGATTTTTTTCCCTCCAAACTTTGTTGTAACTGCCCGAGAAAATCAATCGAGCTCTGACTTTATATCTCGGATTCAATGATACGCTGATCTAATGTATCTGTCTCCATTTTCTGTTGCAGGCAAATGGTGGGCCGCATATTGGTGGAAATGTTTCGCGCGGCTGTCAACAATAAACTGACACTGGTCGTCGAGGACGTCATGCAACATGTACAGTTGATCATTGACGATAATGGTAAGTCGCGATCAACCACCATCATTCGTCAAAATAAACACTCTGAAATTCACAAAATTATCTCTGGATCACGTACAATCGCTTAGACAATTTCACTGTAACGTTGTAATCAATTCCTGACTGAATCTTTCGCAGCAATATAGTCTTTGAGTATCCATGATTTCATGATGTTGCTTGTAAAGTTGGAGACAAATTTCCACCTGTCTTAATTTTTAAGTTCTTTACATGATGTCGCATCATTCAGTGAAGAGAGAACGATATCGCAAGTGAGGTTCAGCATCATCACCGCACAATTTCTCGCACCTTTTTAGAGATGCCCGGTGTGAAAGGATTGGAAACATGTTCATTTCTGAGCCAAATCCTTCGCATCATTCACGCATGTCATAAATGTGATTGGCTGCTATGATTTTTATCTTGTGCTTTTCTACCTGAATTCCATTGACGCAAGCTTAACAAAAGAGAGATAATGATTTAGCTTACGCTTTTCGTTTTGCATTCTAAACGTGCGAGTCTTCCCTATTACGTGTGTTACAATTTATTTATAATTGACATTATGCATTTATTAAAAATATTGTGATCATAAAATACAGAATTCTTATGGGAAGCAATTTTATAAATTGTATACACATCATCGAACGTGATCGAAAGGATATATTGTAGTTTTAATCGCAATGTCAGCCAAACATCGACTTCTATGATGTACATGGTTCATAGTGTTTTATCGGTTATGTGCAAAAAGTTTCTAAAATTTCTCTCTTGCATCGACACAGTCAAGGCCATTAGACGTTTTCTAACGAGATCATATTGATTTTACTCTTTCCGTTTTTAACTCGTAATCAATATCTGATAAAAACTGCAAGCATAGCTTGCATCGACTGCGTGTTTTCAAGCTTGTTCTTACGTAATTCCCCTTTTTATCAAAATAGCGCCATCCACTTTGCTGGAAATTGGATTTTCTTTGTGCAGGTTTCGTTTAAATAACGCGTCGACCCAGGAAAACGTTAATATTAGCAACATCAGCGAGTTCTTGACCGAGATTTAACGTATAAAAGGACGGAACATCTTAAATTCATTGCTCGAAAATTCTGTTTTTTTACCAAAATAATATATTTCACGACTGCTTTAAAAGAGGGAAAAAATATATAAACTCTCTCCAACCGTCAGCATAAACCTCCAAGAAATATTTTAAAGAATGCAAATACATACAGTCAAGTAAATTTACGTATCTCGATGCTTGTCGCCCGTAATTCTTCCTTCTTGTACCGAAATAACGTCTTACGATTCGCTGCAAGATTGAGCTGCAAGATATCTTCTTAAATGGGGGTCGCTTGAGTAACGTGTCGCTACAGGAAACGCATAAATATCACCGCATCGGGGTTGTTTCTCTCGAGGACGCGAGTCCTTTTCTCGTAGGGGTCTCGAGCGAGCGCGTGGGCGGGGAGCAAGATGGTGAAAAGTAAGAGCTCCTTCGTCGGAGGCAACGAGACGAGAGATGATGAGAGTGAACGTGTCCTCGTTTCCGGTGTGGCACGCGCCGGGGACGGTGCCGGAAGTCGTCCGTGGATTCGGAATACGACATTAAGCCGCCGCGATATTTATACAAGAGGGCACGGCCCCCGATCTCAGACGTAAACCCTCTCCGTTCTTAATTTAAACATCGCCGTCTCTGGTTACGAGGAATCTTGCGTAAAAGCCGGCGCATACTCACGCGAGGGTCACGCAGACGCATCCCTCCCTCCGGGGGATTTTGACGCATGGCACTTTTTGACAGCTGACACTAACCTGGACTCATCGATCGGCCGCACGCGTTATTTTGTCACGCTAAATTTTTCGATAATCTTGCGGATTAAAAGACAATGTTGATCGCAGATTTTAGGGAAAATCTTTGGATGGGGGGAAAGGAAACGAATATGCCAGGAAATTTATTAGCAATAAGCGACAAACCTTAGGCAAAATTTAGTAAAATTGATAGTTTTGAATGAATAAAATTAGAAATTTCAATAGAATTAATTTGTCCATCGAGTCATATAAAAAATTAAGTCCAGGAATATAATATTATTATAATTTTATCGAAAATTAATTATTCTTTTCGAAATAAAATATAAACTGCGGAAAATTTGTTGATTATAAAATTTGAAATGGCAAAGTTTTTCGATCGACATTGATATATTGATATAGAATAAAAAAAATATGTATTTATATATTCATTATATATATATATAATGAATAAAAAAAATTTACATATACTTCGATATCTGAAAGGAAAAAAAATTAGAATTTTATAAAATATATTTTTTGCATTTCAGGATGAATCAGAATTCAATCGGAAACGATTTTAATTGGAAAGTCTGAGTAAAACATAGATGAATTTTCTAAATTTATTAATATTATTTTTGAAAAAAATATACATCAATTTATCTATATCAATACATATTTTGTCGAGTGTAGTTTTCAATGAGAAGTTGAAGATTGGATAAACTAGGGCATCGCGATTTTCGAAAAATGAATTCCAGGGTAAGAGAAGATTATGGGTGGAGGAAAAGAAAAATCGTTTATACGAGGCTCTGCAGAGTTTTCGTCGTTATGAAGAAGACTCTAACGGTCATCTTGAAAAGTTTCATCGATGGTATCTCGATATAGCGCCGGTCCGCGGTCATTTTGAAAGAACGTCGACGAAAAACATTCCTTTTACCTGAAATTGCTTTCAAGAAACGCAGAAAATGTAGCTCGATACATTTTTTCCCCGAAGATTTCGGCCTCGATTCAGATCTTTCTTCCTTTCAAGGAGTTCCTTGTATAAAGATGCGTTAAATATATTCTTAAACGTTCGCGCGGTGAGAAAAAGGTTTAGCTTCTCTATTTCTTATGGTTGTCACGAATAACAATGTCACGTCTAACAAGTTAAAATTAATTGCCGATAATTAATGAATTCAAGAAAACACAAATAAAAACGCTTTATCTCACCAGGAACGTGTGTAATAAAAGTTAGATATATATCTTAATATTTTATATTCAAGAATTTTTTTTAAAAGAATTCAAAGTACGATATAAATGTAAAATAAAAATCAAGTTCACGGAAAGGATCGGATATATTTTATGTCGCTCAGAAGTTGTCATAAATTATATTTGATTCTCTGATGATAACACCTGAATATTTAAGATAAATTAATAATAAAAATGACGATTTTTTATTTTAATCGTAAAGTATGTTACATATATTGGATACTTATGAATTCAATAATAAAAATGAAAGAATTTTCAACGAATTTTTAAACTTTGAGAGCACATTTATTGTACTTTTTAGATCTCGTGTACCAGAAAATAATAATGAAAACATTCAGTAAAATTATTTGACGAATTAAAAATTATAAAATATAATTTAATAAAATAATTTATTAATTTAACTAAATATAAATTATAAAATTATATATGTTTGCAACAAATACAACTGTTTGTCTTGCAATATTTCTGCGAGAAAATTGACTTCAAGTTTAAACTAATTTCCAGAAGATATGGGAGATTCTATGGGACATCTTGCACGAATATATACGACGCGCATCCGGAAATCGTGAAGGGATGCGACGCTGTCCGGGTGCATCCCGATACAGATGCACCCCAAAGACGGCGATGTCGTCCTAGTAGCCGGCTATTTTTAGGGGCAAGCCGCGGAACATCTTGTCCCGGTAACACGTGCCACTGTCGAGTGTGTTTTCCTGTCGGGGGACACGCGGAAGAAGGGGCCGCGATGCAGCAACACCGGTTTACGACACGGGGCACGCGACACCATTCTCGTTTACGTATTTTTGGATACACCGTTCGAGGAAGCAAAGTCGAACCTCCCCCTCGATTTTCAACAGGAGCATTGCCCTCGTAGTTTGAACTAGGGTGGCTCGACATTCCTGGAAAGTCTCGACGAGCTCGAGCTTTTCGCGCGAGGACATTATTGTAAGCTTCGCGTTTGCATAGAAATAATTTCTGTTTAGTTTATTATATACAATATAAATTAATGTCATAGGAAGAATAAAAATTATTAATTTATAAAATTATACAAAATTATAATTTATAAAATTGTAAATTATTAATTTATAAAATGTAAAAGAGGGTGAAACGGTTCTTCAACGGTTCATCCTTCCCATAGAAGAAGAACGCGCCAAGATGGTGATGCCTCGAGTACAGCGGGATATTTTTGGCGGGATTGCGCAGAAATATGCACTCGAAATAGGGCGGGAAGGGAAAATAGGTTTTTGACGGAGATTAATGGGCGATGCGTGGGACCAAAGGGCGACGGAGGGCCAGGGAGGGAGGAGGGGGGAGTCCTTCGAGACCATGAAAGAGAAATCGGCAAAAGGGACGAGGGAAATGACCCTAGAAAGGCGAACGGGAAACAGAAAGATGAGCCCAAAAACGTTGAAACGAAGTGATGGGCCCTACGGAAAAAAAAAGCGCGCGCGTTTTAGTCTCCTTCTTCCGCGCCTCCCTCTCGCGCGCACACGCGCGAGTCCCTTGCTACCCCGATCCCTTCCACGCGGTCGAGTTTCCTACTTCGCAGTCCTATCGTAAGGCCCCGACTCTCCCGCTTCCAGCATCCGTCCCCTCCATGGCGCGTTTTCCAGTCGGAGAAGCTGCCTTCGATGAACCACCCTCAGTAATATCCACGTCGAGCAAGAACAGTGATACGATCCTCTTCTCGCGGGAGTTTTCGTTTTACACCGCCTGTAGCCTCGCTGAATTTGCAGGAATACTCACTCGTAGCTTTCTACACTATTATTTCTAACAATATGGCTTTTAGGTAATATCTAGAGGATAATTGATTTAATCTTATACTAGGATTACGATTCTACATCTCTGTTGGATCTTTTCCTTTTGAGAAAATTTAATTTAATATTGCAAACTTGCTTTAACAGATTCGGTATTTCTTTGAAAATTTATTATAAATTCATGAAATAATAAATTAATCAGTAATATTAATAAATTAATTAACTAACTAACTTAGGATATCAGTTTCATGAGATATAAGAATGATTATAATTTGAATATACATGATTATTGATTTCCACAAGTTTCTTAGATCTCAAAATAAATATTTTCATATCTGTAGTGTTTTCATTTCTTCAGAAGAATAACATCGGTTATTTCGAAAATAATATTCATTCAAGAATTAAGTAAATATCGAATAGCGAATTTACTCGATTGTCAGCTAAATCCAATCTTAAGTCAGATAAATCTTCCTTTGGCCACTTTTCTGAAATATCTGAAATTAAATAAAAAAAAGAGGGGTGAAAAAATTCTTTCCTACAATATCCTACTAATGTGCACAATTTATGTTTGCAGATGCTTTGGTTCGGTCGGACTTGGTGGAGCAGATTCCGAATGTGGCGATCATCTGTCTCGAGGCGCCGGATCTCTTCGGGGATGTTCTTCGCAATCACTTGCTCGGTATTATAATAAAGTACCTGAGTGATCCTGATAACCAGGCAAGTGATTCTTGTTTTGATTACATTTCTCAGGAACACAAACAGAATGAAATACACGTGATACGTACAATATGAAGTGTTTTTGTTCTGTAGGTACGACAAATGGCTCAAAACGCGCTCATGACGATCGTGAAGCGGGGTCTCCTCGACAATGACACAATCGAGCACGAAATCTGTCCCACGATAGAACATTTGTCCTACATGTCGGCCGACGAACATCTTCGTAACGCAAACATCTCCGTAAGTTTCCCGCGCTTTATCACTCTCTCTTTTTTTCCACTTTATCTTCCGCTTTGTTGATAATGGAAGAGGACACGAGGAAGGTTGTGTAAGTGAGACGTATACTTTTGCTCGAAGTCTTATGTTGAAAATAAGGTTTACATGCCAAGAATGATATTATGATGCTAAAAAAAATTGATTCCTTTTTTTTCTTAAATAAATAGAATAAACAAATTTTTCCAAACATAACAATTTATTCTATTTATTTAAAAAAAATGGTACTAATTTTTATTTTCGATATCTACAAAAATTAATATTCTCAAGTAAACGTTAAGTATAGGGATAATTTTGTCTCGCTTACAGTCCGTCTTACGTGGAATTTTCTTTATTTGAAATGCGCGAAAAGTCTCTCATTCTTAAAAACACACACGATATCTGGCATCTCTTCTAATACATATCGAGTAAACGAAACGGCCCATATCTGATACGGATTCCTCCTGAAAGACATGGGTAGTGAGATGTTCTCACGCAATCGCGTCTCACTATCTTGTCTTTCATGCGGCGTTCGTTCATCCTGACAATCATTGAGTGGATACAAAGAGTCGGAAAATCACGCGGTGAAAATTATACGATCTGTCGCATCGTCGAGCACATCGAGGACGAGGCGAGAAACGCGGGAGAGAGGAGAAAAAGCTGAGCGGAGGTAGAACGCTCTTTAAGGGCGAGATTAAAGGAACGAGCGAATATTTGGCCCCGTCGTCGCTTCAAGATTTCCATAAATGGAGAAAAAAGGAGAAAGAGAGCGTGGGCGTTTTCGTGGAAAACGCAAATACCGGCGTCCTGCGACGAAAGACGGGGCATACTTTTACCATCAAAGTTGGTTTGTCATAGAGTTCGACTATCACAGCCAGCTTTGATGATCAAAATTATGTCCGTTCTCCGATGGTTGAAAGACAAACGAAGTGAGAAATATAAGAGGGGAAACATTAGGAGAGAAGGTGAAGAAGAGGAGACACCTTCCTCTCCCAAGGACACCCTATCGGGAATATACCTTTTGCGGTCCGATACATCAAATTGGTTGTGGAATGTTTCGAGTCATATCACAGCCATTTTGATGAGCTGGCCCGCAGAATCGATCGTCGAGAAGATTTTACTTTCCATTTCGATAACGCTGTTGAATCGATAACAGGCAACGAACAGAATGAACGAGGAGCAGGAGAGAGAGAAAGATAAAACAACATCACACCACGACGTTTTCTTCTCATTTTATATATGCGGAGTTTTCAAAAATTCACAATACAAACTTCGCACGCTTATTTCATCCATTATGTTTACACGCGTGCAAAATTTATGCTGTAAATTTTTAAACACCCCGTGTATATCTACGTGACATCGCCAAATGTCTCGCAAGAGAAGGTCCCTCTCTGAGGATCGAACTCGCCCGAAACTTTGATGAACAACATCACATATATGCACAGGAGAGGAACGCGATCCAATCGTCAAATTGGTTGTGGCGTGTTGCTCCTCTGAATTTCATATCACAGCCATTTTTGACGATTTGGATCGCCGTTTTATGCATCGGCCTCTTCCATTTAAGATGCGGAGAAGAATGTAATGAGTAATCAGGAGGTCTGTTCCAGAGATTGCATCTTGGACTTGGAGGAGAGTGTGTTCGCGTTGCTCACAAAGTGGCTGTAATATGCTGATGTAACGATCATATCACAGCCAGCTTTGATGAGCGTTGCGACATTCAAGGTTCAACGAGCTCGGAGATGTATGAAAAAAATATTTTAATGCGACAAAATGCAAGAAATTTATCTCTATTACATTGCTTATATCATCGCGCAATCTGTGACTTAATCTTTCATGTAGATATAATTTATTTATCACATGTCACTTGAATATTCTATTCTTTACATGCGAGATCAGAATATGTTATCGTGCATCATCAGATGGATGCAATATCGTGCTAATGTAAATAAACGCTAATTCATGAATATATACTTTTACAGGGTAGATTGCAGGCTGATTGCATAAAATCGACTGTTCCTCCCATCAGAGTGGTTGTGATGTGGTGCTATTGATTCATATCACAGCCAGCTTTGATGAGCGGAACGGAACGATGTATCTCTCGAAATTATTAATAATCTTAATTATAATATTATCTTGTAATTATTTATTTTATATATGTAATCGTACGCTTATCAGTTTAGGTGTAACGTTTTTTTTATTTATTTATTTTTAAATCGATAATTAAGAGAATGCGTTTAAAATTATGATCGCCACACGTAGACATAAATAAATGTGTTAACATTTTTTTACATCGAATTTCTCATACTTGTAACAATTCATTCTCAACATTCCGTATTTTATATCGATTCGCAGCTCATGTGTCGACTAGCACCGCTGATTGGTAGCGAACTTACAGAGAAGGTCTTCCTAAGACGATTCTTGGACCTGTGCGAGGACAATGATATGATGGTGAGGAGAACCTGCGCCACACACTTTGGAGAAATGTGCGTAGCTGTGGGGAAGGAAAAATTGTATAGCAAATTGGTGAGTCTTATTCACAGATAAAAACAAGACATCAAATCATATAAACGCATTTCTGACATTTCGTACGAATTTGACCGATATCATCATCTTATTTCTCGTCCTCAGATTCCTACGTTCGTGGATTTGTGCGGCGACAGAGTGTGGGGTGTGCGAAAAGCATGCGTCGAGGTTATGATGCCGGTCGCTTGTTGCTCGACACCGGAGCATCGCCGATTATTACTAGCTGACATATTGGCTAAGCATTTGAACGACGATTCCAAGTGGGTGCGAATATCGGCTTTCCAGATACTCGGACCGTTTATATCGACCTTTGCCAAGCAGTTTGCTGATGTCACTTATAATAAGCACGGCGAGTTGGTGTATACTAGTAAACAAGATAATCATCTCAGGTAATTTGTGTATTTTTTCGTTTTTCAACGTTTTTCAACGTATATTAATTTCAATTGAACGTGTGTTTTTTTTTTCAGTATACGTTACTCATACGAAGGAATTTTCCCTACAAAGGGCGCGATCAAAAGTCAAATATCTGATATGGACGATAAAAGCTCTTTTTATCTGCCTATGATGAAACATGATAATGTTAAGACACCGGATTCCTCGGAGGAGTACGAATTCCAGAAGAAAGACGTCTTTTCACAATTGCGACTTAAAGTCCTGGTATGAAATTAATAACTTTTAGTATTAATTTTTATGCGTATATAAATAAATCTGCTTATATATAAAATTTCTTTGTATAGTTCTTAAGTGTACGTGTATTAATGATTTTCTATGATTCGATTTTTAGGCCGTAAAGCGAAAAAAGCGTAAACCTGTTCCTCTGCTCAAGATAGACGTGGACGATACGGAGAATTATAATCCATTTTTATATTATTACATCCCTCCGGATATACCATTAGATGACGAACTTACTCATGCTGCGAGGCAATCAGCGATGAATCGTAATAACGCCAAGAAAGGATCATCAGGGGAATTAACTCATTTTAACGACAGAATGTTTAAACGATCATATAAATCCCGTACCTGTAACTATCCCGAAATTCTCGTCGACGAGGATGACTCGAGTATTGATGGACAATCGAACGACGATAAGCTCGATAATCGAAAGGAAGAGAAAGATGACGATGACGATGGAGATTGCCCACCGTTGTCACAAGACACGACGGACTCGTTGGATGATACTATATGGACAAATTTTGATATATATCATGTGGACTCTATGGACAAGAGTGACGAGTCCTGTAACTTCGGCAAGAACTTAGACGCGAAGGAAAACGGACAAGAGATCGTACCTCAGGAATTAATCAATTACTACGTATCGATGACCGATCCGGAGCAATGCGTGGACATGGGTGCCGAGATCCCGCATCATTGTGCCTTCAGTTTTCCCGCAGTCACGCTTACGCTTGGCACGGAGAATTGGCATTACTTGAAAAAGGCTTATCAGTCATTGTCAAGTGCGAAACATTGGAAGGTCAGGCATACCCTGGCGTCCAGCATTCACGAGATTGCCATGATTCTAGGCGAAGAACTCACTGCCACTGACCTCGTGCCGATCTACGATGGTTTCATCAAGGATCTGGACGAGGTCAGAATAGGTGTACTCAAACACCTCGCGACCTTTTTAAAGATACTCAAGCCTTCTGATCGCTGCCAATATCTGCCGAGGTTAAGCGACTTCCTTGTCACAGACAACGAATGGAACTGGAGATTCAGGGAGGAACTTGCTACGCAGTTGCTCGAGATTGTTAGCCTTTTCAATTTAAACGATGTAGCACAAAGTATCGCGCCACTGTCCTTCCAATTGCTTGTAGATAAGGTTGCTGCTGTCAGAAACATTGCGCTTGAATTGGTAAAGTCTTTTTAGATTTCTCTCATATATTATATTTTATATAATCATTCCATCTCATATATAAATACAAACCTTGATTCTTTCAGATCACGCGAATTATGTGCTACTTATCTCGCGATGACGCTCTGATTACGTCTCTTATTCACGAATTCCGAGACATTCTAGTTAAAAATACTAAAAAATGGATACACCGACAGATTTACGCACTCGTGTGCTCTCACTTGATTCGCAATGGCGCAATTACAGGAAGCATGTTTTCTAAAGAGATGTTACCATATTTGATAGGCCTATCTGTCGACAGAGTACCTAATGTAAGATTAGCTGTAGCGAGAACTTTGGCGACGGATGTTGTTGGGATGGGTTGTAAGTATACTTGTGTATAAATATATTCTTGTCATAATATATATTGCGCGCTGAATCGGTATATTATATAAAAAATTATATAAAAAATATATAAAAAAAATTAATATTATATATCTCTCTCTAATAATATATTTATATTTTTAGTGGACACTTTGGGTATGGAAATGATGGAACGAGTGCAAGTAGTACTCGCAAAACTGCGCGTGGACGATGACCGAGATGTGCGAGTGTTCGCCGGAGGTCAAGAGCAATTGGGTGTACTGGCTTATTGTTCTTCAGACGAAAACAATCAAGTCGAACAAGCGAAAAATATATTATTTTAATAGTGATGTATTCCGATCTCATGGATCTGCGGTTTTATATGCAAATTAAAAAAAAAACGAAAACTTTTTATATATATACATATAGCACAAGATGCACCTCGGTTCTTCCACACGAGTGACTAGTTTGTATAAATGATAAGCCAAAAGCGTGCGCTGGTTATTAACTGCTGCAAATGTCAAGCTTTGATCGCAAACGTACCAGATTTGCATGCATAGCAATTACAATTGCGAACACATTTGTTGATAAAAAATGTTTAAAGCAAAGCTCAAATACATAGCGTTCGCGATTTAGTCGAAGAATAGGTATGATACAATTATGCAATGACGACTGATGCATCTTTTGCGTCCAATAATTTAGGACAGAATTGTGAATATCGATAATCGTATACTATGCGATTACGTAATGATGCATGAATGTATATGTATATGTGTATATGCGCAAAAGAATGCGTGTTTTACCATTGTGATCAATGTAACTCTGATCTCCCGAATGAGCCGAATAATTGAGTGCGTTATATCGATGCAGTTTCGCTTGATTTATTTCACGAATGTTCGATTGTACGACTTACCGGCACTACATCGCGTTTCGCGTTATTTTGTAGCATCACCGGCAATAATACCGGCAAAAGTGGAGGAGATATTGTTTAAAATATCCTGTATAATATGTATTTCATAAAAAAATAACTGGAAAAAAATACATTAATTTATTTATTACATTTACACAATTATCACCATATTATTGATTAGGAAAGTTCTCGAGATTGTAAAAGTTCAATCACATTTTTGCACGATTTCAAAAATTGCTATGTGGTAAAGTATAAGTTTTTAATCTAAAATCATTATATCAAATTTGTACAAAAACTTTCAATCACAAAAGAAGAGATCTAGAATTAAAAATTTATCAGATGCTTTGCGAACTTTTCTTCTCGAGAAATGAATGCTCTTATCAACAAAGAGCAATTGTGTATCGAGAAGCTGATTATATTTCAATTGGACAATTGGAAGACACTTATGCGGGGCTTATCATCGAAATATTCCCAGGAACTTACCCGGGGGACAAGCTGGCAATTGGCAAGCTTTTTCCTCCATCTCGGTTTCCGCATCGGTGCAATCGTGCAGACAATGTCTCCACCTGATCTGTCGACCCTTGCCGCATGTGACACTGCAACTGCTCCAGTCCATCCACCTGCCCCACTTGCGACGTGATTTGCTCCTCGCGATTGGGTTCTCTCCTCGCGCGAATCTCGAATCACTGGAAGACACAGCTCGGGATGACTCTCTTTTCCCTGCTGAGGTCACTTGTCCGCTGTTGCTCGCCAGATGTCGAGGATTGTTGGCGATTTCGGACTTGGAAACTTTCGCAAGGCGTTTCTTCTCAGAAGAGATCTTGGGTTTTCCTTCCAAGCGATTTGCATTCTTATCAACGCAGATGTTCGTCGTGGTCTCGTTACGATCGCTCACGTACACTTGCAACTCGTTTACCTGAAGATGAAAGATACCAAAGCGAAGGATGTGTATTCGAAGTCGATTTTAAAGTCTTGGGACGATCAACGTAGAGGTGACTCTTTATCGACTTATTCAACGATACAGCAACTCACCTTGATGATTAATTTCTCAGCAAGCTCCTTAATTTCTTCGATCGATCTCACAGCGCGGTTACCACGAGGCTTGTGCTTCGACTTTTCGCGCTTTACATCTTCGATCGATGTTCCTCGTCCGTTCTTGAAACGTTTCGATCCTATCAGTGCGTTCCTATCGCTTCGTAGATAACGTCCAGACGTAATTTCTTGGTTTCTCTTCGCGCGCGATTTTGCATCCTCGTCCAACGATGTCTCGACGCGATTATATTTGCCACTGTCCTTGATACTTGACAGATCGGACTCGATCGGATGAGATTCCGAATAGTTAAATAACGATGCGGAATCGTTTGTCTGCCGATTGGCAATGTTGCTTCCGTAATCTAGCTTCTTTACTATAATTTCCACTGTCAAGTTATTAACTTTTCCCCTCCCAACGGAATCGAAATTCGGGACAAGTTGAAAATTTGTGGCATTTTTGTCCACAATCTCGTCGTCGTTATATTTTAATAACGCAGTTGAACAAGTAGTAGTCCCGATAGAATGATCCGTCCAGTTGCTAATAAGGGATGACTCGTTCCTGGGAATTTTTTCGATACGGACCCGCAATTCTGCTCTTCCAGTTTGCACAAAGGGCGATGCGACAGCGTTTTCTTCCTGCTGAATTTATTTATAATTTTTATTGTTAATTAATGATGCGTGTTAGTGATACGAATAATTAAGATTCTTACTTTGTCGTAATCAGTAATGCTAGTTCTAACAAAATCGGTGTTCAAATTATCAGTCCCGGATTCCCTTTTCTCTATTTGCGATTCATCCATCGTTTTGGCAGGTATGATTTTTGTTTTTTTTCTTGCCTTTTCTATAAACAGGTGAAGTTAATTGAAAGAAATTTATTTTATGGAATTGAATACTCGACTTTGCATCTATATTTGTATTTGTACATCACCTGCAGTATCATACAAATTAAAAGTAAATCTCTAATTTAATTTTTCATATATAAAATAAATTTAAAATAAATCTAATGAATTCTAATAAATTTAAAATTCCAAAATATGTAATAAATTTAAATTAAAAAAGTTAATATATTATTACAAATTTATATATTCGTAAGATCCTTTCACTATAATATGAATTCAATTATTATATATAACTATCATAAATGACATCGTACAACATTGAAAGAAATAAATTTTTTTATAATAAAAGAAATAGATAACGTTAGATTTTTTTTGTAAAGGATATAATTAACGATTCTCTTTTATTAAGAACTGATTAATGTAATTATAATTTATATTGTTACTTTATATTTAGAGTGGAACAAGATTTCGCGATATGATCGTAAGATATGAACAGACTCGACATGCAAAATATTTTAAATCGAAATAAAATTCAAATCATTACGAAATGTACTCGAATTGTTTGCTTTTTTCATGCCAGGTTTGCGAGGAGACTTCAACGTATCGTGTCTCTTCTTCCTGTTTTTAATCGCAACGCGATACTTCGATTGTCTAACACTTCTTTTCGGGCATTCTCCACGTTGCCTGGTTTCAGACAAGACTCCTCTTTTGTGTCTTGAATGCATTACATCTACGATAGTCGTATTAGATCGATTTCTACGATCTGGATTCACATATGAGTCTTTAAAATTGGACATGAGATCGCCGTAAACGTTCCTCGTATCGTTATTGCTCCGGGAATTTTGCGAAAAAGAATCAAGTTTCATGTTCAGCTGATGACGGATGATTGAATCGTTGATCGGTTCGCTTCTCTTGACGCGAACGTGATCCGCAAAATTCTGATCACTCTTATTATCAAGACCCTCATCGATTATTGCCGGTCCTTTAAAGTCTATCAGAGTCCGATCCTTTGTACTTTCTATGACATTTCCAAATTTTCCATTAAAATTTGTATCTTCAGCTATTTGATCGTTTACGTTATGTCGCGAGGTCTCGTTCAAAGATCCATCGGTTTCGATCATTTCATTATTATAAAGTAATCTTCTTTTCCAAAACTCTTTAGAGAGATCACATGCCACTCTTTCCTTCTGAGGATCCAAGAGAGAAATATTCTTTTCTGGAAAAATCCAAGGAATAAACCATAATGTGCAATGCAATTTATTGCTTATATCAAAAGGCTAATATCATTATAATATATTTGTTCCCAGCAAACACCAAATAAAACATTTATATAATTGTTAGTTGTAATTGTAATTTTCCACTCAACACTATAACTGTAACATATTACGTAACTGTTATATAACATGTAACAGTTATATTGTTGAGTGGGAAATTATAACTAACAGTTACATAACTGTTATTTGGTGCTTGCTGAGTTTATTTATACATTTTGATGATGAATTTATTGTTTTTACAAATTTGCAAAATCTATTTAAAGAGATTTTAAATATATTTTTTTTTTAATTTAAAGAGATAAAGAAATTTGAATTTAGCTCAAAAGATACACTATACTTGGATATAGTTTATTCTCTGTCATGGTTAGATTATAGAAAAGTATAAGAATCCAAATAGCCGAGTAAGTTGGCAAACTCGGCATAACACGATTCGTTGATGATGCTGATAAGCAAAATGAGATCGGTATCCGCAGCTTATTTTCATGAGCGTTTTTAAATTTGTTTATAAGATACTGAAGATGTGATACTTATTAAGATGACATAAAATGCTATATAACGTGGAAAGACATTAAATCCCCCTTCTATTTTCTCGATTATAATTCGATATTTTTATTAATAGAAAGATGAAGTGACATAGTTCACGACGTCATAGATAAGTCATAGATACGTATTATAGATGCCATACGAATTGCATCAATTTTACTTAAATATTATTCTCGAGAAAATTATGATGTGACCTTTCAAAGCAATTGACAAAATAATATTTATAAAATTTATTTTATTAAATTACATTTTTATTAAATTAATGCAAATTTTATTTGAGAATTCATTCTAATAGTATTTTTATAAATAAAATTAAAATCATTACTTTCTCCTCAATTTCAAAAATTTTTTTGTTACATATACATGTTTTTTTTCTGTAGCTTTTTAATATAATTTTAATATTAAAAATTGTTAGTTGTCATTTATAATTTCTCACTCAACAATATAACTGTTACGTGTTATGTAACTGTTACATAACACGTAACAGTTATATTGTTGAGTGGGAAATTATAACTAACAGTTATATAACTGTTGTTTGCTGGGTTATAAGTATCGCATATATAATGTATATCATTTTTATAAAATTATTCTTATTATATATTCATGTATAACACATATTAATTATATAAATATATATAATTTTTTGAACCAACAGTCATGAAGAATACGCATGTAACTAAACGCGATGCGTCTAGCTATTATTGACCCCGGAAGATGCATCTGACATCTCTACATATCACTGCCAGAGAGAAGACTGAGAGGTGTCATGGCCCGCTTTTAGATGATCCCTGAAAGCGATACGCCCTCTGTTAATCTAAAAAACGTGGACATGAACTACAAAGCCAAAGTCCACGAAAGTTCTCAGAGAGTAACATATATGTGCACAATTTCTGATTCTGTTCCATGCTATGTAAAAAACGCCTGTAGTACACGAAATGCCTATGTACACGAAATGCCATCAGTGCTGTATAGCAAAACGCATATGTATATAAATATAAATAAATTTTTAATTTTAATTTTTTAAATAAATTTTGTGGTCCTCTCTCTCTCCCTTTCTCTCTCTCTCTCACTCTACACATACACAAATAAACACACACACATATAATATATATATGTACATATAATATAACGCTACAACTTTATTCTGAAATAGCTGCGTTATGTTTAGAAATATATATATATATATATATATATATATATATATATATATATACAATTTAAAACATTACATTGAAATACACGCGCTGGAATTACATATATATATTCTATGTGTACATAAATACAGATATATTATCTCTTTTCGAAAGATATATTAACATTGAAAAATTTAAATATAATATATATTTAATTAATTGATTCATATCTATTTATGTCGTATCACAAAGTATGAAGTTAAAATTTGACTTCAATCCCGAAAAATACTGTGATCTTCCAATGTAATATTCAAAGATAAAATAAATATTTTTCTATACATTCAATGTCATATTTATATATTTTTATTTACAAAAAACAAAATGTCTGTTGTGGAATAAAAACTTTTTTAATCGTATTTCTATAAATCTTTTTAATTAGCAATAAAATGATCTTTGATATTTATCAGTCATTTTTTTTAATTATTTAAAAATGTAATTATTAATACATGTATAGAATTTGTTAAAGTAATCACTGATTCTTCTGAAGCTTTTATAATTATTATAAGATTCGAAAAATATAGATGTTGCAAAATATTTTAAATATCTCTTCCTTTATATAAAATATAAAGAATTCATATGTTCTATTCTAATATAGTCAACATTATTTGTATACTTTTATTATAATTTTCTTACCAGCATAATATTTTTATGCTTAATATTTTATGTAATATAATGTACTAAATTATAAAATTTAATATAATTACAAAATAGTATTATTATTAATAAAAAGATTGCACACTGTCTTTTAGTTTCTAATTATTTTCAATCATTATGCATTTCTATCCAATATATTCTCTTCTTCGAGTTCTTGGATTATTATGGTTTATTGTATTCCTTTGTGTTAAAATTATAAAAATTATCATCATTTGTCATTCCTTCCTATGGAGTTCATCGAAATACTTTCTATGGACATTTGTTCTCAGGTATAGATATTCAAATCACTGTAGTTGCCTTTTTCTCGATTATTGTCCCTTTTTCTTTCATTTTATTTAAAAATATTAATATAATTAATATAACAAATATTTATAATTTATAATTTATAATTTTGGTATTTCTCTTAGTCTGACACTTCCCCTTCGACTTGTACACCTCCCCTCCGGCGTAGATGACTCTATCAATAACTACGATCGGTATTCATTACTCACTTTTATATTTAAGATCATACTTAAAATTATCTTAAATATAAGAAAAGTCTATACGAATATCGGTGTATGTTATCACCGGCATAGCTCTCAGGTTCATTAAAATACTCAAACCTCCTCAGCCGGCAAATGCCATTCTTAAGATGGAGAGATCATCGAGAAGGCAAAATTTTTCATTTTCTTTCAATACAGAATTTAATACAAAAAGTTAATGTAAAATATAATATTATATAATTTGAAATGTAATACAAAATAAATTAACAATCCTTTCTTTTTTTACGTGGGGAAAAAAACTCTTAAAAAATACTCAAAAAATATTGATCCCTAAAAAATTCTTAATATTAAAAATATAATTATTGAACTATTTATTAATTAGTTTTCCCTAATATTATTTAAACCTACATTTCCTGATTCTTTAAAAGATACATAATATAAGCTAAATTAATCACAGCTAAATTAATCACATAATAGCCCTAACAATCCTCTACTTTTTGAAAGGAAAATTAAAAAATCTTAATGATCACCTAATAGCCCTAACGATTCTATTTCTCGATTAAGTGAGATTATTTGAGGAAAGCCTATCTCTAATCACGTATATTTTAATTACGTGCCCTAATTACATTCTCTAACCGCATGCCCTAACCGCGTGAATAAATGTCCGACATTACGTACTATTGTACGTAAAGCTTTTCTTCAGGCCAGTTGAACTTTTACTTTTCGTTGATCCTGGCCACTTTCTCGCTCGATCTCTAATCAGAGATTGAAACAGGACAACACTCCTTCTTTTGCCGATTAATTACCGGCAAATGAGTGTAAATATTTCACGCTCATCGTAACGATCGCTCGATTTTACGATCGTTTGTTAAATATTTGAATATAACTTTATTTTAACTCAAATAAAGCCAAATTACTACAAATTTCTATATACTATAGATTCTAATAAAATATAAAATTCATGTATGTGTATAACTTTTATGATATTACAAACTATTTAATTAATTAATCGTTTGGCTTTATTTTAAGTTAAAGTAAAATTTAAAAACAATATCTACAAACAAATTCTACAATGGATGAGCTATGATATAAGAAATTAGAATAAAATAAGTGCGCGTTATTATAAGAATAAAGTAGTATCAAAAATTGATAAAATTGTTAAAATCATTAATGCGTGCTCTTGATTTAATAAACTAGTCAAGTCTTTACAAAAAAAATTTTCTTTTCTTGATTCTCTTTTTTAAATTAATACTTCAATATATTTTCGCAATAGATGCAAAGCATTTCGAAAGAATTTATTAAAAGTTATTTAATTTAATCTATCCTAGCTCATCCATTTTAAGGCAACGGACTTACTCTACAATTCACAATCTACAATCTACAATCTACAATCTACAATCTACAATCTACATCTACAATCTCTACGAATCCGTTACCTTAAAGTTAAATAAAAGTTTTTCTCACTCACCGACACTGATGCGCAACAGCGGAGTTATAATTATCGAAGCTACGTTGTCTGTAACATACAAATATAAAATTCATTTATATTAATGCTCACAAAATGCAATCAATATTTCAAAAAATTTTTATCGCGCGGAATTTTATATCCGATGTGTAAAATAATAAGCAGAGATAAACACGTGTGGAAAAATTTTATAAAATTTTAAAACTGTTTTTTAAGAAAGTTTTTTAAAAAGTTTTATATAACTTTTATAAAAATCTTTCTCTCTAATTTTCTCTTTAATTCATTTAAATAATAAGATCGAATTATTATGCGTACGATTTATAACAATTGATATACAAATAATAAATATTCACCATCAGGTTGCTCCGCCGATGCAAGATGCCTCTCCCAGGCCTCCTCCTCCTCTCATGTTGTTGACGCGCGATACTTTCAACGGCACTCCCGCACTTACGAGCGATATTTTTATATCGCTATTTTCGTTATTTTACGCCCGATACTAAACGGCACTCCCGCACTACTTCGGTATTCGGATTAAAAATTTTGTCGCGCGATGTATAT